CTTGTTGGCTGGTAGACACGGGGATCCATCCTTCCAAGTGTATTTGATAGTGTCCGTCCACTATTTCCAAAGACGTAAGCATTCGGTCATAGGTCACTCAATCATTCAGCGACGTTGCTCGCTTGGTACAGGCAGCTTCGAGAAATTCGAAGTTAAACATGCGTTCGAGCTGTAAATTCAAATCTTCCGTCTGAGTGATGTCATGGAAAATTGCTTCGCTCTGGTTGTTATTGGGGTTTGAGAATAAAGGCCCCAAAACTGCCCATCCCAGTGGTCCTTTTACTGCTTAAGGGTCTTGGGGGCCCCCGAACCTCTGCTGTAGAACCCACTGTGCCTTTGGGACGTCACAACCAATCAGAAGACCTATGTCTACCGGTTTCAATTCTGGAAGCGGTATTTCCTTTAAATGCTTCCACTTCTGGGACTGTTCGAGAAGTGGCGCGAGCGAATTTAAGCAGGGCATGGCGTCGAAAACCCAAGCGCGATGAACTTGCATTACTTCCTCAGAACCGAGCAATTTTGTGCAGAACGAAACTGATGCTGATCTTGTGACACACTCTCCATTGATAGTTTTAATAATTAATGGCGCAGGTGTACCTTTCAATCCCAGTTTCGGCAGAAGTGAACTATGGATCAGGGTCGCACTAGCACCGTTGTCCAAAAAGGCGTTGACAACGACGTCTCCTTCGGGTCCTCGAATCCAAGCTGGCACTACAGCACACGATATATTTGATTTTGGGACGTCTGCTATGCTATGGTGTACACCTTCTGATGCAATCTCGGGTGGTTCTGGTTCGTTTTCTGTCTTGGAAGAGCTCGGTCGGTGCAGAAATGGATGATGTTTGCCCACACATAACTGGAACCCACGGGCATGTCTGGATCGACACACCTTTGCTTGATGGTACGGTTTTATACATAAATAACATACTCGGAGTCGGTCTACGCGGGCCATTCTGTCTACAACTGGTATTTTAATAAACTCTGGGCACCGATCCAGGTAGTGAGATGATCCATACTGTGCACATTTCACCGGTGACCTAACCTGACCTGATCTGTCGTCGCCTATCTGCGTCGTCAAAGCTGCTCTATATAGTAGGGACTTGTGTTTGTTGGGGCCTCACTGTGTTTGGCTGGGGACNATCTGCCTCCAGCTCTAAATTTTTATTCTTTATACGGGGGAGGTCCAGTTCTATCATCAATCCTTGCGTGGACAGTCCGCTCCTGGTGGACGCACGAGACGGGGAAGGCAGTCGAAACACAGACATAACGCGTCTTGATGTAGCCGGATATTGAACTTCGCACAGCATATCCAGCCACCTTTGTACGATCCTGTGCTAAGGCCGTGATCTCAAAGCAAGTAATAGGTTACTTAGCCTAAACGCACGATCTAGGTGTCCTATCTGATAGGTAACGTGTAGTCTTATCCACCAAAGGACCGTCAGTAATAATTACGGCGTAACCGTACGAACTTCACCTGCGTTTTTTCAGTAGTCGCAATTGGGCAGTGAACAACATATTGAATTGGACTTGGGCAGGGAGTACAGATAAGTAGACCGTGTTTCTATAGGAAAGTAACAGTAAATCGTGAGGAGAATTAAAGAGGGAATTAAAGAAGCCTAGATTGAACCTTTGGCAGTTGGCAAAACAGGATGCCCCAGGCTATTCCCACAATTAGATTGGTTTCTCGAAATCTGCGGCATGTTCAGACCTGCCACTCCATAGTGTAGAATGTCTATGTATAATGCATATGCTCCTGTATTATTGAAAATCCTTTACTATGGCGATTTCTATAAGTGAACGAAATCTCCAGGTCAATAAACACCGCCGACTGTGAATACGTTACCTGATGATAAAAAATCGTGATTTGTGGAAAAGGTTGACTCACATACAATGAACGTAACTTTCAGGTATTTTTCCACCAGAACAGATTTCCTCGACAGTCTAGAAACAAAATGGCCTTTGGAGATGCAACACATGCATAGGCGCATTCAGCTTTCCGTTTGTCTTGGAGGGAGCCTGCTGCATTTGTAGTACACCCTTTCGTAACGCAAAATAGTGTGGGTGCTTCGATTACTGGATGAACGCACAAATATCACAAAGTTATCCTTCATGTATTCATTTAAGGTCTTGTCAAATGCCGTGAAGGATGAAAACGATACACCCACAAATATCTCAACGAAAGCCACTTCCGAAGCCATAGCAGACGAAATTCAAAGCCGAATGTGCGCCAATAATTTTCAGAAGAGATCCATTAAAACAAATCGCAAAATATGACGGCAGATGAGCGGGGTTTTCAGTCTACGCATATATGCAAAGAAGTGCAACATTTTGACGTTGAAGTTTTTATTTCGCCCGCAGGGGTTTTGCAGAAAAATACATTGTGCGTCTAGCCGCTGGCTCCTGTGTGCCACTTATTTGCATATATGCGTAAACTGAAAACCCCCCTCATCTGCCGTCATTTTTTGCGATTTGTTTTAATCGATCTCTTCTGAAAATTATTGGCGCACATTAGGCTTTGCATTTCGTCTGCTATGGCTTCGGAAGTGGCTTTCGTTGAGAAATTTGTGGGTGTATCGTTTTCATCCTTCACGGCATTTGACAAGACCTTAAATGAATACATGAAGGATAACTTTGTGATATTTGTGCGTTCATCCAGTAATCAAAGCACCCACACTATTTTGCGTTACGAAAGGGTGTACTACAAATGCAGCAAGCGCCCTCCAAGACCAACGGAAAGCCGTGGAATCCGAGAAAGCTAGTAAGCCGAGCGTAATTTCTAATAAAAAAAGTACGCGAAGAACCGGCTGTCCAGTGCGGTTTTGTCTATGGAGGCGAAGGAACCAACTGGAAGTGACCTCTTATTTTCTGCAACAAGACCACGAACTGTCAAAATTCCTGTACGATCGGCTTCCAGTCAATCGACGCCTAACCGAAGACGAGTTGGGCACATGCAAGTCCCTGCTGAGATATGGAAGGCCATCATCTGTGGTGCGGCAGTCTCTGGCGGATAAATTCGGAAAGATTCTTACAGCTACCGCCGGAAGTGTCGACCGGCCATCCATGGTAGGTGCAGAATGGTTGGGTTTTAATGTAGCAGATGATATGCCTTCGGTTCTGGCAAAACTTCGGGAGACCGGACGCGTCCTTGTGTGTCAGGGAGAGGAAGGTCACTATAGCCACATATGTTTCTCCCGATGGCAGCA